TGTTAGTCAATCTATAAGATTAATAAACTTTAGATTAATTAATTAATCAATAACTTGCATCCCTAATTTACACAGGAATGATGTTCATTTTTATCTACACATTTTCATGTAATTAAGCGTTTTAATGATTTGGCAGATTAATCGATTAATCGAAAAAATAATCGACAGATTAATTGATTATTAAAATAATCGTTAGTTGCAGCCCTACAGTAACATTACTGGCCTGCACTCAGTGAAAAGAACATAAGAGTTTTGTTACTTTTATTGGCCTGTGGGCTCAGACAAACTGAAAACACATTTATATTATCTCTAAACCCTAGTAAAAGTATGAATTTATTTCCTAATCTAATCCAGATTACACGCTGTGAAGAACTTCACCTCCATGCAGAGAATCTGTCCCGTCGGGTTTGGGAGCTGCTGATGCTCCTTCCTACATGTCCCAAGATGCTGCAGGCTTTTCAGAACATTTCAGATGAAACGGTTAGTTGGTGGTTTAAACGCTTTCTGTAGGTTTGTTTTTAGAAGAAAGCACATGTTGAACTCTCTTTATTTTGGTTGTTATAGAATGAAGAATGTTTGTCCTGGAAGGAGCTGCTAAGGATTAAAAGTCCTCATAAACTGTTGTATGCTCTGGAAATCATTGAGGCTCTAGGCAAACCCAACCGACGGATCCACAGAGAGTCATCTGTGAGAGAGACATGACACAAATCTTTGTCTTAAGTCCTTTGATGTTTCCTTCTTGCTAATTATATATTTGTTTTAGGATTAACAGTTTCATTTCATTGAAAGACGTTTTTTGTAGAATTTTCAAAACTAACTGCACGTCATTGTTTTTAATTAGCAAAAGATTGATTWAACAACTCAGCACAAACTGGAATGTTTTTTGTTTATTTTACTTTTCATAAATTCTTAATTTGRACCATTTTAATCTTGGTTGTCCTTTGTGTGTAATCCTTTTGATGTGTTTTCAGGGCAGCTACAGTGATTTATACCCAGACTCTGATGACTCCAGTGAGGATCAGATAGAAAACAGCAAGAACACCTGGAGCTGCAAGGTACAGCACAGCGTTTTTCAACATGACACAAGCTAATCAAATTTCTCATGAATTATTTATTTAGATGATGATGTTATCCTGTCATTCTAGTTTGTTTCATCTGGGGGTCTCCAGCTGCTCCTGGAGATCTTTAACTCTGGCATCCTCGAACCCAAAGACCAGGAGTCCTGGACAGTGGTGAGACAGTCTAACTAAAACATGTCCTATTACTCATCTGCTTAATTTTTGTAGGTGTCAAATTTTAGTTTTGTTTTGTTTTTACTTTTTTCAGACAAGGTTGAAAAAAGAAAACAGAAAAAAATATTTGGTTTGGTTGCAGACTAGCATGACATGAGTTAGATTCAGCTTTAAGTTCTGGTCAAATTTCCATGTCAATATTTCTAAATGAATGGTAAATGGT